ATACTGTCTTACAGTGTTCCACTGATATGCATAAGGTTTTCATTGGCCAAACATTCAGACTTAACAACAGCAACAAAAAACATTCAGAAGTAGTCCACTTTGCCTGTCTTAGTCTTTGGAAGCTTAGCTGAAACCTATCTACCATGAATGACCCTGCTGATATTTAAAATACCAGTGACAGAGCTTCCTGCATCACACCAGCATACAAGCTACCACAGTATGACAAACTGACACACAAGTGCTGGTGTTTTGTCTTTAATGTGTACAATTTCAGTTGGTCAGAGAAGTGTCACATATAGTCATTGTAACACTGTGTACAGCATGCTCATCTAAAGACACATGTACTCTATGCAATTAACATTAGATATGAATAAAAAAAATCCATCTACCAATATGATAAGAGCAAGATTACAGAAAATTAGTCAAAATGTTTTTTAAAAAAAAGTATTCTTGATTGTACTCTGATGTTCTCAGAACTCAGTAATTGAGAATAGCAGGCTATGGTATAGTCAATTATGACTACTCCACCATACTCTTTGTAAATACAACAAAATGACTGGATGGAATCATGCAAATAAGGTGAACTGGACTTTAACATGGGAATAAATCCATTTTGCACTTTGCTGGTAGCGTAGTGGTTACGAGTCAGGCTGCTAACCTCAAGATCAGAAGTTTGAACCTACCCGTTTCGTGGGAGAAAGATGAGTCTTTCTGCTCCTGTAAAGATTCACAGCCTCAGAAACCCTATGCAGGGTCACTATGAGTCGGAATCAACTCCACAACACACCACCAACAACAACAGTATAAAATGAGCCACATTAGAAGCAAGGACAGGGATCTCACAATTGTCAAGCAAGAAGTGCTATGAACAGAGTGTGTCCTTTCGACCCCAAGATTACTTCACTGAGAAGAGACAGCAGCTTGTTCATTTAATCTGTTCTTTCATAGCTCAAAAGAGATTTATTTAAGACACATCTTATACCATTATTCTAATTAACATAACAAAGAAAATCCATTCCCAAATGAGGTTATAACCACAGATATAGGGGTTATGATTTACTACATACGTTTTGGGGATACACAATTCAATCCATAACACCTGCTAAGAATACAGTTGTTCAATAGTTAAAATCTGAAATAAGGTTAAATAAAAAGATTACTCTAGTTATTAAGAAAGCAAATTTTATAAAAATTTATACAATAGACTTCGTAGTAGCTAGTTGTTTTTCATTGTTTCTGTGTTAAATGCCATCAAGTTGGTTCCAACTCATAGTGACACTGTATAGGCTTCCAAGGAGTGGCTGGTGGGTTTGAACCTCCAAACTTGTGTGGTTAGTAGTCCAGTGCTTTTCCTACAGTACCACGCCAGGACTCCAGTTTTTTCTATTACACACACACGCACACACACACACACACATATATATACACACACATAAATTAAGGAGCTCTGGTAGCGTAGTGGTTACAAATCGGGCTGCGAACCGCAAGGTCAGCAGTTCGAAACTACTAGCTGTTCTTCAGGAGAAAGATGAGGCTTTCTGCTCCCTGTAAAGATTTACA